TGTAAAAAGCGTAATCATTTTGCAGCAAAGTGCTTCATGAAGAAGGAGTCATCCTCAGAACCTGAAGTTCCAGCAGCTGATCGTGTCAATGGCGTACAACTCCCAGCCAAACGGAAAGGTATATTTGCAAAGATGTTGGTGAATGGAGAAGAAGTAACCTTCCAACTAGATTCTGGCGCGTCTGTGAACATAATACCGAGAAATTTCATGCCCGATACCAAATTGGACCCTACACAAACAAGATTGGTTATGTGGAACGGTGCAAACGGAAATCACCTATTGAAGCCGTACAAAGAAATGGATATTTCTGAGGAACCTCTCTTGGAGAAAGTACAAACGATCTCCAAATTCTTGCACCTGGAACAACTACCGACTGCTGCAAAACCACTACACCAGTTTGGTACGTGAAGATAAACTAAACCATCAAGAATCTCCAGAACAGAGATTCATTTCAACCCCCCTCCCTGAGGCTTTTGTGGAAACGTGTTAACTCAGCTCGAAAATTTGAACGTGGAATACTGGTGACCAGTTCTTCTGGAAGAGCCACAGCCAACACAATGGAAACCAGTAAAATGCTAAAGAACCACTATACCGGAGAAATTTTCTGCGTCAACTAATGAAGGACTGTGCCTTCTCCGTTACTAACCACCGTTTCATTCACTACCGAAAAGGTTGAAGCAAATCTATTGGTTTTGAGGAAGAATTCATCACTAAGTGCAGAAAGTATTCACCCCAAAATCCTTGTCTACTTGGCGAATCAAATATTCGAATAATTTCACCCACCTACAAAGGCGGTTGCCTTAGCGATCCCGTTAACTACCGCCTTGTCACCCTCCTTCCAGTGTTGTCCAAAGTCATGGAGTCCATCCAAGCAGATTCCCTGATAGAAGACCTAGAGAAGCACACCGTTCTGTCACCGAATCAATGTGGATTTCAACAGAAGAAATCCTGCGATACCAACTTGCTCAATGAACGAGAAGAATAGACAAAAGCAGTTGATGACGGCGATGCGGCAGACGTTATTTATCTGGACTTCTCAAAAGCGCTCCATCGGGTAAACCATAACATTTTACTGCAGAAACTCTATGGTTACGATATTCGGGGCTTCATGCTTGATTGGATCGAAGCATTTATCTGACATCGGACCGTATCGGTCCGTGTTTCTGATTTGCTTTCCATTCCTATGGACGTTACCCGCCGGATTCCACAAGGATATGTACTTGACCTGCGACTTTTCCTAACATATATAAACGATCGACCGAAGGCTCTGGGGCCAAAATCATTACTATTTTCAGATGACGCCAAAATTTGGAATACGGTAACGGAAGCAGCGGTCTCGCTGATACTCCACGAAACGCTGAAAGCAGCTCGTCTCTGGTCTCGTATGAACGATATCGAATTCAACGTGTCAGAGTGTAAGGTTCTATCTCTAAGACACAAGGGGCGATTTCCTCGGAAATGAACAACTGCCACTCACTGAAAGTAAGAGGCACCTGGGAATCATCATTTAAAAAACTCAAGCTGCTCACTGAACTGCGCCAAGGTGTCGAACGCAGCTGTAAAGAATGTCGGTTTGCTTAAGCGTTTCTTTTGCCGTTTTCAGTCAGCGCTTTTCCACCGTTTGCTATCAGTATCTATTCGCCTACTCACAGTATGCTATTCAAGCATGGAACCCATGACTACAACGTGATTGCAGAATGCTGGAGCGGCCCTAAAGGATGACCAACAAAATGGTTAAGGGGTAAATCAATATTCATACGCAGAGAGCCCAGAGTCGTTGGGGTTATACTCCAATCACTACTGGCGCATCAGACTATAGTAATGCAAAACTCAAACCACCCGTGTCGCCGTCTACTAACGTTATCACCCAACGTTTATATCACAGTACATCCGTTCAAAACACTGGTCTCAAAATGCCGATTGGAACACCGGCGTCAGTCATTCGCAGCCAGAGTGTGTTCGGTTTGGAACTCCCACCCTGTGAGCCAAGCTTTGAATCCTTCAAATTGAGACTTGATAGCACGCCTTACATTCCAACATAAGCGAAGCTGCAAGCAGTATTGGAAGAAGATCGTATCATGTGACATTTTACACAAGAAATTGTATGCATCACTGTCTTTTAATCACAAAACGAACCTATGGGACGAGAAAAGTGAGCTTGTAAAGTATTCCCATACTAAAACTTTGATCTTTGAACAAGGGGGTTAAACAATGGGTACGCGATTTAACCAGACTATCTTAGAAGCTGATCTCCATTATTTGGGGATCGTTTCGGAAGCAGACAGAAGTTTAACAACATATTAGGAGGAAACGATGTGAGGAGTGTATCAAAAAATCGATGCACCATGTGTTGTTTTTTATCGTGAATATTATAATGTTGGTAACACCGATATCGGTAGAGAATTGTAATCACGGACGTTTCGGTTACCGTGTGTTTTGCAATCAAATGACTCAGAGAAAGAGGTCACAAGTCAACGAATGTTTCGTCATGTGCGTGCCTGGTGTGATTTGTGTGTGTGTGTGTGTGTGTGGTGGGCTGCCTTGAGAGAGGTTACCCACGGTAACCTAAAGGACGCCGAATACAATTCTCTACTTACATCGACTGTGTTATTAACATTCTAACATTCGCAATAGAGGTCGAACAACTTTGCAATAAATGTCACAGGCTCCTCATAAGTTTAACCGACAAAGGGAAGATAAATCAGGGGCAATGAATTTGTTGATTTTGAGGTTTTCCTAAGTTTTAAGAATTGAAGATATTATTCTCAATTTCCAGATGTAACCGACTGCCGTGGAACTAAGCCAACCTCTTATCACTAGTTACGAAGTGCAACTGTACGACAGAATTACCAAAAAGAAGTTGTGGTGACCCAGGCCTATACGATGGCGCCTATCCTGGAGCGGCGCGTTACAGTTTCAGGACATTTGCGATCAATCAAGTTTGAATGCTGATGTCAATGACACGTGCATGGCTTCTGAATACACGTCATTGGTGGATGGTGCCAGCCAATCCAAGACAGTGCACATAGAAGCAAGATTATGCAAGCAGTACTGCAATTCCATTGGTGGAAGCCCAGAGAGTCAATAGTCTCCCTTTGTACATATTATTTAAGCACCTTCATTTCTTTAAATAAACGAACTACTGCTCTCTACCATTCCTGTGGCCTTTTCCTCGCGTCTCGTTCTCGTGGGAAATTGCGAATCCGTGCCATTATGGTCCAGTGCTTCTGTGATCCAGTCCGTGATAGCTGATTATTGATTCCGGTCTTGTGATTCCTATTTCGTGGTTGGCGTTCCGAATTCCGTGCGTATTACTACGATTACTACAATTATTACAGAAATCCATTGAACTTGGAAGCCGCCCAAACCAGATTTTACATCTCTCATGATCTCAGATGAACTGGCCATCTGGATTTAATTTACTGGTTTGTGAATCTCAGAACCAAAACCATGGTAGAGAGAATTTAAGAGAAGCAATTGTGCGTGGTATGCATTTTCATCTTTGATTGGTTACAAATCCGTTACCCAGTAATTGTCCGCAATGCATGAAACCAAACTACACTATGTTTGATGACGACATTTCAAACTATCTGGAAAGCCTTCTTCAAGCCGAGTAAACGGTTTTTTCTTCTTGGATGAGAAAACTTTGAAGTAAGATGATGTGTGTATTTATATATGTGTGTGTGTGTATACATGTGCCTGTTTGTGTGCCACGGCTTCAGCAGTGTACCGTTCCAATATTTTTATCGTGGGCGAGGGGAATTAGGGATCGGATTGGTGGGGGTTTCAAATTCGTCTACGAACCGTTATCACGTTTGCTGCTTGATCATTCGGTTTCACGCTCCCAGAGACTTGTTATCTTAATAAGGTGGCTAATGCCTGCTGTCAGACAACAAGTACGATGGAGCTTTGGCTAGATTTATGTGATGGGTTTTTAAAATCAGATGTATGTATAATTGATCAAAGTATTGAGGCCGTTTGGTCCCTGCACAGGTGCTCGATCCCCAATGAAAGTGCATCAATTTCGGTCTCGTGAAAGTGATTAGTCTCTCATCTGTCACCAGGCCGGACACTGCGCCTATTCTCTTGCGGCTTAGTGCAGTTCACCACTGCAATCCCTAGCCAGGGCTTAGGTTACCACCTATCAGTGAACATTAGATCCTCTTGATTATCAGGGTTTGTCCTTTCAACTTATGTCTGGAATATGAGTGAAATGCAAGGAGTATGAGTGAATGAATTTTTGCTGTTTACGATGACTCCAACTATTGATACCGCGAGTTTACATGTTAAATTAATCTTAATTTTCTTAGAGCGTATGTTTTTATGTATTTCATCAGAATTGGCGGATGCAATGGAAAGGAGAATGGGCTGATTTTTCACACAGTTTGTTTTGAATTGTTCCCCACTTCAAATATTTTTTTTCAGAAGCCAAGCATCACTTGTTCGACAAATTGCGGATCTGTCACGCATCATCCGTCTTCGCCCATTCTCCCTTCCCTCGCAAATATACAACTGTGGCTAGCCATTGTTATTTTAGTATAATTATGAAACAACGAAAACAAGCTGGTTTGTCACACATTAAATAGAGAACACAACAGTAAAGTGTTACACAACATATTTCCGGAAACATTTTTCTCTGTTTCCCCAGGTATACCTGGGGAAACATTCAAAAAGCTAATGAAGAATAACAAGTCACCGTTGATGAGCTACCCCGGTGAGGACAAGAGTTAAAGATAACTCTTGTGTGCACATTTCATCGTTTTCATCGTTTGATAGCAATCAGTTACCTCTGAGAGATGGAATGATGTGCAGTGTCGGATGATGTTTGACCTTGACCGTTCGAATGCCATTCGTTGACCAAATTATGAATCCACAGAGAAATGTGTTCGCCTAATGTTTATCTAAGCTGCCGCTAGGTCCTGCCTAGATAGGTGGTCGAGCACCCACAGAGGAATTGGTTTAACCAGTGGGATTTGGCATGCAGCGAAGGCGGTTGCTTGACTGGAGGAGCCGGTACTTTTTCAAATGTAGAAGGATGGTTCAATTGTACTGAATGTTTGTTTGATGCACCAGCTTAGATGGAATTCTGCCAACTTACTCAAAGTTTCACCATTGAACGGGAGTAGTAGAACAACCTTACGCTTCGGTCTGGATATTTGTCATTCTAATTTCTAGGGTTAAGTAATATGCTTTTGAATTGAGTTCGAAAAGCCATCATCTTCGGGAAAGTCTCATTCCATTTCATCATATCCTCCACGAGGTTCTCTTTAGTCCTAAAACTGGTCCTTGTTATTACATAGTGGTAAGCAATCTCTTTGCCTTTGTAATCAACAATCGAGACATCCGCAAATCTGATTTTGTCAAATAGCTCTGTGTCACAATAACCCATAACGTATCGTAATCTGCGCATGTTATTAGAGCTTTTACAAAAGTTTGAAGACAGAGGAAATTGATCGTTCCACGTAACCTTATGCATAGAATAGTGATTGTCTGAATCCTTCCACACTGGTTATACTGCTTTCTGATATGTATGCCCGATTGAAAAGAAAAATACTCACCTTGTTCCCCAGATCCATTCAATCTTTGTCCCGATACAGTGGGATTTATAGAGTTGTTTGAAATTTCAAACTACACCCATGCTCACATTTAGAACAATTCCCAGCGGAAAGTTGTTTTAAATAACTTATAATCATACCGATACACTTAATACGAGAGGATAAAACCTAGGGGTTGGGAAGTTAACGATAACGTCTAAGGAATGGACCATTGTGTGTATGTGCGTTTGTGTGTTACACATCACATTCTCAGTTCTGTGCTTCTGGGATTTCCACTGATGTCACGTTGGTCGTATGACTCAAGTCCAAGGGATGTGTGTTATTGGGTGAATACATGTGTGTTTGCGGGGGGGGGGGGGGGGGGAAGGGGAAAGGGATGAGTTCGTAAACCAATGGGATTAGACGTTTCTGGGGACATAGTTCTGGAAGCAAAAAGCTAGGAATGTGATGTGCAATACACAGCGATCAATTACTCAGATTTTATTGTTGTTGTTTTACAACCCCTAGCTTTTATCCTTTCATACTGATTTGTGATGTTCGACGCATATGATACATTTATTGACAGGAATATACATGATCAAGGGCATTGTCTGCATACGAAACTCGGTAAAACCGTGTAAAATCCCCGAACTCTCTGTCTGCAAATATAGATTCCTTCCTGTACGTGTTTCCTCGCTGAGTGTAATTCCATACATGGCTAAGCTTTTAGCAAATCGTAGGACAATCACTACCTATGTGAGGGAAGCACTCTCGTATTCGAATTTTTCTTTCACTACACTATGGAATTCATGTTTTGTTATTTTTTATTGTAACATTTTTATAACTCCACTAAAAATTCACCCTCTGGGTGCATGAAGCGTTTTTTGAGTTTGGCGTACAATTTTTCACGCACGGGTTTAATTGTCCTCGCTATTTGTATCAAATGGTGATGCACCTGATCAAGTGCGGATATTCACTCGTCCACAAATGTTCTCGATCAACAGGTTGACCATGGCTCCCATCGGTCTTGCGTTGCCTTTTTAAATCCAGTAAGGATACCGTGTCATTGTCTTCATGTTCGATTGTTGGAATGAGAGCTGTTAACGTTTGAAATAAGTCCATCGCTACTGTTTTGGAGTCTGCCATGAATAACACGTCTTTCATGTATAGTTTGTATCGATCGGTTTTGATGATTTTAACGTTGAGGTTTCCCTTCAGACTGGTCGTTAGTATGTCTGCTAGGGACTGCCATGGATACACAATCGATTTGACAGGAATATCGACCTTGAAAACCGAAAGAAATGTTCTGTCTGCACAACAGAACGCAACACACCAATTATGCGAATTCACAAATATATCCTGTATGAAGACAATGGTGAAAGCGATAGCAAATATAATCCGCAAATAAATTGCTGAACACTGGTATTATATCATCCGGAAAAGGATATTTCAATTTTCTGTGGGCGAAGAATTGAACAATGGCCTTGTGAGAACACTGGCGATACGACGTTCGATGTAATTCGTCTATATAGTTACGGGGGAATGAATCAAATGTGGCTTGGGACTGTCTGACAATTACCCACGATAATTCGGCAGGCAAACGAATGGAAAACCCAAACAGGAGTAATATTTTTCTCATTTCTCCCTAAATTTGGATGGGTGATGGCGAATAGACCGGTTCTGTGACAGCACACTTCATTTCGTAACCGGCATTCGGTTATACCCTAAACATCCAAGCGTAAGGTTGTTACGTATTTCAAAAATGAGTAAAATTTATCTTCGTTCCCCTGGAACTATGAAAATAAATCCGTATTTTTATGTTGTTTATGAGGAAACCCCATTGCATGATTGTAGTAATCAGAATAGTATTGAATTTAGGTATACGAGAATCCGTACTGTACTGCTCAGAACTGAATTGGTTCCAACCCAAACTGCGGACACCAATGAAATACACGAGGAATTGATAGCAGCAAATGCTTATGTTTATTGATAGAATTAGAGCATGTTTTATAGAAGGAAATATCTCATATGATTGGTTGAAGGGCCGTCGTCCAATTACGTAACCGTTTGCACCGACGCATCATATGTACTAACTCGGATGTCACGTTCGCCCAGTGTACCATTGGTCGAGCTTCCTGAACGGTGATTAGATGACATGAAACTGTACCTAATCGTGCATGGATTGCGGTCACGGAAGTCTGGAGCACCACAATGATGCACACGAATAAGAACATGTACCTCACTTGATTCATCAGGCTGAATCAACACGCAACAGCATCGGCCGGTACTGTGTAGTGGCGCTTAGTGTACGAAGAAAAGGAGCAAATCCACGAGGACGTTTTCCGTTCATGTTTTCTTCACAATCAACTTTAACTCTTACTATGATATTACATACTGTTTTACTGTGTTTTACTGAAAACGGTTTTCCGCTCAGGTATATACATAAGCTGGGTCCTATTCTAACCCGCGCAACAAGTGTGACACGTTTTCAATTTGCCACTGCATTTATTTACTTGCGTTGTTTAGTCGTCACATCGGCACGTATTCGGTTCTTTCCAGTATCACGATACACCAATATAAGTCTATGACAACCGCGAGTTTTTTGTCTACCTCGGGCAAAGAAAAACTAGGAGGTCAAGCGGGTACTTTGAGATTCTGTCTTGTCGACAGGCCATCACGTCCATTAGTTTCAAATATACCATTGACTGGGAATATACCAACAGCCTATCTGAATTCAGCGACACTCTGATGTTGAAAGTTTGATGATCCACTGCAACTCAGAACGGCGTACTTTGTAAGGAAGGGATTCAATCATTTTGTCTGCATCTAAGCAGGCAGATATATTGGTCGAATGGAGGAAAACAATGCACGGAAATATTCGATTCCCAGTGATATCAAAACGGGCTACCGAGAGGATACAATTTCAAGGGTATGTTCAACTTTGGTGAGCAGTTCGGATTTCACTCTGTCTATGCTCGTCAGAATCCGAGCCCAGTAAGCTACAGGCAAGAGTTTGTTGCAATTTATTACAGCCGGAATTCTGCGCGGGTAGATGAATAGATACTGTGAATGTCAGATTATTGTGCAGTGGAAATTTCGAGTCTTGGAGCCTCTTACAGGCCAAAGTTAAACAAGAAGCATTGTGTCGATTCGCAGGCCCAGTTAACAGAACACTTATGGGGAGGAACAAAGCACAATTGATTCCTGCCAAATCGAGGTGCAAAACAATAAATTCCTGTCTAGAAAGGAAGGACGAAGTGAAAGACAAGCTTACAAACAAACTATTTTAGAGTTTGCGTNGTATTCAATGGGATAGTTGTCGAGACTTTCCGAAACATTACTAAATGTAAGATGTGATTGGTATCTTCATCCACTACCAGAGACCTAGAAGAACTGTCTCCGGAAACAAAATGGAATTGATCGAGAGAGACTCTGTTGGGTGCGTTGAGCGAGAAAAACTGAAAATGAACCACAAAATTTCAGAATAATTCAGTTTTGAGCCGGATCGTGTTGAAAAGCGTTCGATTTAGGATAAATTTAATTTTCTAAAATCAGATGCATCAGAAATCGCGTATTAAAGCGTAACATCATCGGGTTATTTGAAGACACTTGACTGAAATGATATCGAAAATATTGCTTTAGAAGTTGAGAATAGAAACGGGCATAGGGTGTAATGTTGAATGATTGTAGCCTGGAATGCGGATGTTGCCATTGGAGCGTTCTCCGATTCGGAACTGCTGTTTGCAGAGATTTTTTTTGATGAGGTTGTCTAGACTAGTTTTGAAACACCTGTAAACAACATTTTCAACTAGGACAATTCTCTAACCCCAACAATAAACGAGGATAATATAGTACATCAAAATATTCCAGAAGTGTTAATAACTGGTTGAGATAACTTGTGTTATATCCTGCTATTCTGCATTCGATTGCAAAATGGTTGGACAGCAAAGTAAGTGTTTTTTGAGAAAAGCTTTATGACTTTTAAGAGGAAAAAATCGAAGTATAGGAGCAGAAACTGTTTGTAAAAGTTGCAGTAAATAAACTATGCAGATTTGTCGATAAATTTAGTCATGACCTGGTACGAAACCTGGAGCTTTTAGAGTTAAATGCCAATCGGAAAACGGTCTGGTGTTAAAGTTAGACACGATTGCAGGTGTTTGAGGACAGTCCTCTTTGTGCGCAGCAGAAGTTAGGGTT